TAATCAAATAGAAACTTTTTAGGAAAACAAAACAGTACCAGCTTTTGGAAGGGATGGTCCAAATGTTTTGTATGAAAATAGTAAAAAGCCTAATTTAAAAACAAATTTACCAGTGTTTTTTAAGTTTAAATGTTCAATTGGTTGTCAGGCTGGTCTTAAAAATGTATAAAATTTAAGTCAAATTCAAGTGGCCCAAAAACACAGGGTATATTTACAGAAATAAAATATGGTAAAATACAATCCTATAATATGAATTTCTCAAAAGCCTATTCTAATTAAGTCAAGATGTATTGCCTTGATTACAAAATGCCCATTTCACAAACAATTAGGCCATTTTATCTGTAAAATTGAATGACAACAAGGTGTTTTAATTTGAGGACAGTAAACCGACAGATGCAATTCTATATTGTACCAAGTGGACAATCAATTAATTTATTAGGAAGCCTCGAGACATAACTGCCTTAAATTAAACCCAAGATTTACAGAAAAATTATCAATTGTTGTTGATCTAATTGTGAAATTATCACTTTAGAAAAAAATAAAAATATTAAAAATAATAATTAGAAAGATTAGCCTATATTATAACAAAATATACAGTGCTCAGCATTTATAAATACACATCTCACGAATATTTTAATTTATTATTTTTAATAGGAAGCTATACAATATTATATTTGTGCATACACATTAGATTATTCAATACTGAAGCCAAATCTGGAGCTTATCTAACAAAATGACTTATGATAATGGTCCAAAAGCTAGTACCCACAAATTTATGTTATAGGAAAATATTAAATGCAAATTTTAAAAGAAGGAAAAATCAAGAGAAGTAAAAAAATGAACAATTTTTTAAAATTGTGTTGTAATTTTGTTGTCATATTTTGCTTCAATTGAATTGTATTATCTTTCAATTTCTAATTAAGTTTGACTAAAATATTATTTTAATAAATATATCTGATTAATAAATCTAAATTGCTTAAATGCACCCAAATACATTGCCTATCTTCACTGAGAAATGGATAAAGCTATTCAAAATGGGGTTATGCTAAACACTGTATGTGTGGGGTTTTTAACATTTTAACCATTACATATATAAACAACAGCAACAATTTGCAATAAAATTACTTTAGTCAGAGCACTGATGTTAACAAAAGTTAGCAATTTGTTAGTGTTTATTAATATATGTTAACATTTAGTAATTCCTGCACTTATAAGTCTATGTCAATTCAGGACAATTATTCTAATACTATTAACCTTTTAGCCTTCATTTCAGTATTGCATTAAATTATTTATAAATTAACATTAGAAATACTTAAGAGGTAGCTAAACCGAGTTACTTAATGTTGACTAACGTAGTAAAATCTTACTGTAAAATATGACCAATAAAATGAGAACAAACTCTCCAGTAAGGCTTACAACATTCAATATTTCATGTCTCTGAACAGTATCGACTTCTCAAATGCATACCCATTTCTCACTTTTCCCCCATATTCCCAGAAAACAAGCCTCTGATAGCCACAAGCTCGTCGAGTACATTTGTCAGAAAGCCAAAGCTTACCGTGATTACTCAGCAACAGCAATAAACCCCAAATGTGTCAGGTATCCAAACAAAACCCACACGGCGACAGGTTGATTTCCTTTTTGAAAATACTTCCATGTAAAGGCGAGCGAGATGAAATATCGAAACAAATCCTGCAGTTCCAGCGCGTGTCGATCAAAGGTCTACATCGAGTGTAACTTCTCTCAGAGGGAAATCTGCAAACAGTGACTTATGCAATATTCTGCTGTTCACACTCTTTTAGACTGGCACGCGCTTGACAACAATTGTGAAACAATACGAGATTGAACGCTGAACTAATAGTGCAGTCTCTTTCGGGACGTTTCGTTCTGACAGAGACGTATATTGTTATAATGCGTTGATAGCTTGTATCTTTGCTTGAGGAAAATAGCCTTAACATACACGTAGAGTGCTTTGCAAAGCCAACAAATATTACTGTGCTTTCTGTTTAAGAAATACCGCGGAGAACAGCGCCACCGTGAGGTTAAGGGAAACATCGTTTAAAAAATGTTCTCACCATTTGCAAACTTTATATGGTCTTTTTTCCTTCTTCTGTTGAACACAAAATCATATTTTAATGAAACCAATACACACATAATGCAAAGCATTTCTACAGAAGTCATAAGCTTCCAGTCTCCAACACTTTTCAAAATAGCTTCTAAAGTGTTCAACAGAAAACTCAAACAGGTTTGGAATAAATGACGAGGAAATAACAGTCTCTTTACTTAAGGAGAATGACTGAAGCAAAACAAAATGTCTTCATTACATATCCTTTTTATATTGCATATAAAGTGTGTAAATTATCTATGCTATATAATTGGTTGTTGTTTTTACATACCATTATCAGTACGGCTTATCGATATTGGAAAAAATCTGATATTGTGATATTTTATTTTTCTCTGATAATTATTGCAATATTAATACGTTTTCACAAAATGGTTTGAATTTCTCTATTTGATAATTTTCAAAGGAGTTTTAAAGTATTCGGGTACAGAAATTGAAAAAAATCGCAATACCAAAAAAAAAAATGCTTTTCTAGTCAAAATATCAACAACAAAAAAATCTAAGACCAAGTAAAAAAAATTGTTTAGTTTTTACTGTCAGAAGAAATAAGAAAAAAATAAGAGTTTTTAGCTTGTTTTTTTTTTTTTTTTAAGGAAATTATCTGCCTGTGGGGTAAGTGAAATTATCGTTTTCACTTTGAACTTTAGATATTTGGACTAGAAACAAGACATAAATCATATAAATTCTTAATAAATGCAGTGATTAAATACAATTCTACAGCTCAAGATCAACTATAATTCAGACTAGACATTGCATATCTTTGCGATGCGACTACTGCAGATGTGCACATTGAGATATTGATGCTGCAACAATATAATGTGCCTAATTAAGTTTTACATATAAAATGTTTGTACAGGAGATTCAAAAAGCTTACCTTTTAGTGCTTTGTTACTATTTGGACCATACGGTAAAATATTTAACCCTAAGTTTATAATAAATCCTGGCAAATACTTGCATTACTTTCACTGTAGCCTGCATAAATTCACAGTAAATTACTGAGGTAGTTCATAATAAAAATAATTCTGTAAATATTTCTAAATATCAAAAAAAAAGTGCCTGTACTAGCATAAAAGTTCATGTGTATTATTTCCTGTCAAATAAAAGTGTTGGAATTCCTATAACTAACGTGCAAAAGACATAGCCCTTTTTTTACAGTAATTTGCTGTAATCATGATGCCTGCCTCAATTTCACAATAAAATTCAGAATACAAAAAAATGTAAGTTAAAATCCTATAAAGTAATACTAATGTAATTTACTGTGAAAAATTACAGTAACATGTTGTGAAATAATTTTTAGTGCAGGGTTTCCATTCAAAGCTAAATATCATATTCCCTGACTTTTCAATGCAGCAGAATGTTTATTACTTATAATTAATGGAAAAACAGGCTTTTAAATGGTTAGAGCAAGGGTCACCAATCTCGGTCCTGGAGGGCCGGTGTCCCTGCTGGGTTTAGATCCAACTTGCCTCAACACACCTGCCTGGATGTTTCAAGTATACCTAGTAAGACCTTCATTAGCTTGTTCAGGTGTGTTTGATTAGGGTTGGAGCTAAAATCTGCAGGACACCGGCCCTCCAGGAACAAGTTTGGTGACCACTGGGTTAGAGAATATAATTTAGCATGAGCTTTAACAGCCACTATGAGAAAAAATTAATCATTAATTTCAGATTCTAAAAAAAAAATAAATAAATACTGAATGTGTTTGCATGGCTGTAAATGCTTCCTCTCCCATATTTGATAACTTGACAGCTTTAGAAGGTTCACATTTAGTTTTTGTTACCTACAATTTGTTTTCGCAATTTTAAAATGGTAATTTTTAAGTCAAAGCTCTTAAAATATACTACTAGTCTTAGTTAACAGGTCAATGACTGCGTTTCATTCAAGGTTCATAATAAGAGCCATGATGTAGTGGGATCTGAAAATAAAACTTAAAAAACAATTACATTTTTACATACAAACAAAACAAAAGTTACAAACAAAAGTCAGCAAAAGTCTAGATCGGATACGCAGTTGGTCGTAAGTGCGATCAGCACATCATTATAGCAGCATTTATTCATGACCCTGTATAACAATAATTAACACTTTTACAGTACTCTTGATGATTGGGTTTAGGGTTGGGGTAGGTGTTTAAAAAATACAACTTATTGGGTAATTTAATAGATAGCATAAGTAATACTCTGCATAAATATAATTTTTACGTTAAAGTGACGGTTTGGTGTAGGGTAGGCGTTAAAAAATACAATTTATTGGGTTTAATAGATAGCATAAATAAAACTTGGTACAACAACTACTGTTTTTACGTTACTGTGATGGTTAGTTTAGGTTTGGCAATAAAGACAATTTATTGGGTAATTTAATAAATAACGTAAATAATACTCGATACAACAACTGTTTTTACATTACTGTGACGGTTGGGTTTAGGGTTGGGGTGGGATTAGGCATTAAAAAAAATACAATTTATAGGGTAATTTAATTGATAACAAATAATACTCGGTACAACTATTGTTTTAATGTTACTGTAACGGTTGGGGTAGACATTAATAAAATACAATAAATGGTAAAAATAATAAATTTAATAAATAAAATAAATAAGTCTTGTGAACTTCCGGCCGCAACTGTATCCAATCTAGCAACAACCACAGGAGTCCATGAAATTCCATTACTTGGAAAAAAACATAAATTCCTGATTTTAAATGTCTGGAAAAGATGATTCCATAAAACTTTCATGAACCCTGCAAAACACTGTTTGACATCTTTAATTTGTTTTGATGTCACAACTAACGGTTTGATTTTCGGTAAAGCGATTTACTTCAAAGCAGTACTAAAATACGCAAAAACGGAAAACATTTTCATAAGCAATGCACTGAAATGAAACAAATAACTGTGAAAACGACATTTATTAACGTATTCACTGCTTGTTGGTCAACTTGGTTGTATTTTGAAAGTAATGTGAGATAACAATGCTTGTTCCTTTCTTCATTGTTACATATTGCTGTTCTTAAGCCAAAACTGAGAAATTAGGAGAACTTTTCCTTCGATTTTGACCAGAGTTTCACAATCTCACTGGAATGTGATTTGACATTTTCATGTGTTATCTACACCAAACAGCAAAGTCAGCTGTGCAAAGTCCAAGATTAAATGGTGGAATCTATTGACAAATCAAAAGCACATCGCTTTAGTTTCTTTGCTAAATCAACAATGTGTGGAGCATTACACTAATTGCTTAACTCGACCAAATTACACAATACAGTGCAACAAACGCAATTCATGAACTTGTCTAAAATAAGGCATCAGATGAATGTCTTTGCTTGTGATCTTTTGCTAATGAACGTTTTTTTTTCTAGAAATCTGATGATGCTTCAACACAACAACACAAATGGAGAGACTGTAGACGTGGTTCCAAATGCATAGGACAGAATCAGCAAAAAACTGAGCCTTCAGAGAACTTTAAATACAACCCTGATTTTATACTCAAGCTAAAATATTGGATTATCCCTCTCTGACCTGTCAAAATGATGTATGATTAGGCACTTGTAAAAAAATAAGTTACTTTTCTTTCCCGCCCCCCACAGTTCTCATGTTTTCTTTGCAGGTATGGCTGGATCATAGATTTGGGATTTGAGATTGCAGCATTAGCAAAAAAAAAAAAAAGGCAGAAAGCAAATGGACCTCAGAATGCGCAGGGAATAAAAAGACCCTCTTCAAAATCCCCTAAAGCCACATTTCATTAAGCCGCTCATAATAGTTGAATGGCTTTGTAAAATATGGCATTCGACATCCTACAGGATCAAGAAGCAGGATGAGGAAGTTGCAAGTTTTTTTTTTTTTCATTCTTTCTGATAAACAAGAGGGTGAAGGGAAAACGCAGAGGAATGATGGTGCTGATTTGGGAAGCTGGGAATGCAGGAGGTTTATGATGACTTCTCCTTCCTCGCTCTGGGGGAATCTGCTCCGCTGGCTCCAACAGATCCATTCACACCATTGGCTGTGACGAACACAAATGAGAAGCAGCATTACAGGTACTTACTAACAGTCTTTATTTCTTAAGTACTTCAGCTCAAATCCCTAAATCTCAAAGTCAAAGGAAGCAGCTCGACTTGGAACAGTTTCTTAAAAAGGACAGTTCAGTCAGAACTGAAAATTGATTCGTTTACTCAGAATTCATGTATTCTAAATGGTCTGAGTTTCTTCTGATAAACATAAAAGATATTTTGACAAAAGCTAAAAAACCAGTAACCATTATTATTTTTTTAACAATATTATTTGTTTTAATTCCTATGGTAGTCGATGGTTATCGGTTTTCAGCTTTCTTCAAACTATTTTGTCCTGTGTTCAACAGATGAAAGCAGGGTTCCTACCATTTCATGAACGGCAGATTCAAGACCCTTTAAAACTTCAAATCAGGCATCTTTTTAATTCACGCCCGCAGCGCATGTAGCGCTATGAAAGTCCTTACTGCAACTAACTATTCACTTGCACTTAATATTGACATTAAAATATAAAGTACTGCATAAAAAGGATGCTAAAACAATACATAGGCAAAAAAAATGACTCATATTAATTTGCCATATTAGCCACCCCCAAATGGAAAAAAAAAAAAAAAAGTAGAGCTACATGTGGTGTTTCAATAAATGAATGACCTGTGGCCTATTTCAGTAAGGAGGTTTAAACTCGAAGTTTAAACTTGAACTCTTAGTTGATTTACAGAGAGATTAAAAACTCAAGAGTTTTCGGTTACAGAATAGCTGATCTGAGTTGGGTCAATCAACTTTGAGTAGACCAACTCACACACTATGACTATAAAAAGGCATTATAATGGAGCGCAGATATTACGAGTGACCATGGCAACATCTTTTATATATTTATATATATTTATAAATAAAATTAATAAATAAAAAATAAATAAAAAAAAGATCAGCATTTCTTTCTGCAGCTGAACTTGATGTGCTCATGCAAAGTTATTGCAAATATGACCATGTATTTTAAAAAGCAACACCACTGCATCGGTGAAACAGGCAGTTAGCATGGGAAAACATAGCTGTTCAAGTTAATGCGTAATTTTAAAGTATTTAATATTTAAATATAATAAAAAAAGTAATGTAATGTGTAAGGTTTATAAATTTTTTTTTTAAGTTACCACTTTTATACACGTTGATCAGTTTTAATAGATTTAAAAGTGCACTTGTCTGCAATTGATCAAGTGAAAGAGGTTGATATGATATTTAGAATGCAAGCAGTACTAAAAACAGTTTTAGAATATTAATCCCATTAATCTACATACAGTACATGTCGAAGGTCAGTGAATTTAAGCTAATTATTTATTAAAAAAAGGACAAATCATTCTTATACACTAATGTTCTTTGTGTGACTGAAATGTAGGCAATAGTTATGTTTCCATCCAAAAATGTAAAATCTGTGTGCAAAACTGGATTATTGCACAAAAGACGTGTGAATAAAGCAGCGTTTCCATCCTACGAATTAAAGAGAACAAACTTGTCACTTCCTGATTAACTGACGCCAAATATCAACAGTAAAAACAGAATTTATTGCTGTGAAAGAAGCTGCATCTTTCTTTATTTAATAAATGTACTTGCGCCTCAGAAGACAATGTAGACACACAATGAAGACAGGGGCGTTTGAAGGCATGACACGCAAAGAACAGATGCTCTTGACACTCTGAAGGTAAATCATAATGTACATTAATACTCAGATGGTTAAGGCGTTTTGAAATTACCAAAAAAACATTTTGGATGTTTTACAGTGTGCTCAGCCTGCTGGTTTATCCATTCACACACATTTTCTTCATCATCTCTTATAACAAACCTTTTTTTAATGTGCATACTGGAATTTGTTCAGTAAAAGTGTTTAACGCAGTTAATGCGCATCTTTTCTTATCAAATATAAAGTTTATCCAACTCGGTTATGCACATGTTTTTTTATGCATATTTTTTAAAAGTTATGTGCATCATGACGTTTTCATCAATCGTTTTTTATGTGCATATCTAAATTGAGCATTAAAATAGGTGGGTGGAAACGTAAGGCTAAGGAGAGAAATACAGCTTCGTCTTAAAAAAAAAAAAAAAAAAAAAAAAAAAAAAAAAAGACAGACAGACAGAAACTCAGAGTTTAGAGAATAAAACCTGCTCCTGACCAGGATAGGTTCACAGAGTAAGTTACCATGGTAACTGATTCTGAGTTTAAGTTACTTCTCTTTCAGAAACAGGCTTGACTTACCCAGCTTTCCCCATTTTGACAAACCTTCCATTTTGAAACAGAAAACCCAAAGTTTCTCTCATTTCAGGGGTTAAAATACTCTGAGTTTTCACTTAACCTCCTTTCACTTAACCTCCTGTAACTGGCCCCTGAACTAAAGTGTAATACTGACCTTTCTTTGATTTGCTCTTAGAAGAGGATGATTTCTTCTTTAAGGTCTGAGTCTGTGCTTGTTCTCTCCATCGTCGCAACTGGAAGTTGATAAATTTCCACATCATAAAAGCTTGAGTGATGCATATGGCAGCCAGAACGGTCACTCTGAGAGAAACAGAATGTGATTACAAACAGCTCCAACTATAATAAAGCTAAAGGCTTTTCTATGTTTTGGTGTGATTTAACGCAAGTCACATTCATCCGAAAAGCACACTTCCAGTAGAAAAGCTTTTCAAATGTTCATTATAAAGGAAAATTAGTTTCAAAAATTCTGGCATGGCTATTTTGTGGGCAACAACGGCAAACTTACATTTTTTTTACTCATTACATTTCTGTGTATTTAGCTGTTGATAAAGTTAATTAAAACAATTATGCGGAAATCATTTACAGTCTACAGTAGTAAAGGTTTGAACTGAATCAAAACCTTTCAATCAAAACACCTGTTCTTGTCTTAGGAGAATTACGATAAATATTCTTGATCCACTTCAAACGTTGACTACCGTAACTTGCATTACAATTTTAAAGTCATTACATCAGTGTATATCTATGTACTATTTAAATTCACATTTGTTATTATTTCATTAATTTTTCAAATGTTGGATAATATATAAAATATTAATAAATAATATTTTAGTATTATACAGTAATTCGATTTTTAGATTTTTTTTGTATTTATTCTTGTATTTAGTATTAATAAAAGGGTTAATTAAAATAACTTGGAAAAGATTTAATTTACTGTAGTCAACATTTCAAGTTGATCAAAATCTTTCAAAGTCAATCAAAAACCACTTCAAATGTTGACTGTATATACTGTACAAAACTCACATTACATTTTTCTAATCATTAGTGCACACTTATTTACTCATTTTAAAATCACATTTTTATAATTTTTCTATTTATTTTATTTCATTAATGTATCAAAGATTGGGTCATTTATAAATTATTAATAAATAATATATAATATATATTTTTCTTGTTATATAATTTGTTGTATATAGCCATTAATAAAACAGTTCATTATAGTATTATCATATCATATTAAATATAGTTCATAAACAAATAAGTTTACAATCTACAGTAGTGAAGGTTTGCACCAAGTTAATTTCAAAGTTAATCAAAACTTTAATTTAGTCATTTCTACTCAGTACATTACTGTATACATCTATGTACTCATTGTAAAAAAATTCAAAATAAATAAAAACCCTTTAGAAATTTTGTAAATTTTTCAAAAGTTTAAAAATAAAATATTTAAAAAATATATATTTTTGTATTATATTAGTTAGATTTGTAACATTTCTTTTGCATTTTTGTTGTATTTAGTATTAAAAATGGTTAAAATAATTAGGAAAATATTTAGAAATCTGCAGCAGTCAACATTTGAATGTCAATGTAGTGGACGTTCTTGTCTCAAGAGAATTCCTGAAAAACAGTAGTCAACGTTTGAAGTGGATCAATACTGTATATAACTTGCATTACATTTTTCTACTTATTACATTACTGTGTACATCCATTTATTCGTTTTAAAAATCCCATTTTTATTTTTTTGTCTTATTTTCCATTAATTTATCAAATGTCGGATAATTAATTTATAAAATACTAATTAAATAATCTATATACACACGTGAACACAACATTTTTATATAAGATTTTTATTCTTTTTAGTTTTGGATTCTGGCTGTTAATAAAATGTATTATTAAATTAAACAATTTATGCTTTCATTTATCCAATTCTCAAAGGCTTGTATCTCCGAACACGTCCTAGGACCATGTTGAAAATCACCTAGATGAAATACTTCACCACTATTTATTGTTCTTTCTGTACTTTTACATTCAAACACTCCAAAATTAAATTGTGTATTGCATACATGAATCAGATAAAGCCTGAATCACAAATACCATAAAACCAGCACAGTGTAAACCATTCAAATTCAAGAATTTCCTGCTTCAAAGCTCCACAAAAATTAAAACAAGTCACATGACAAGGCACTTGGCTTATAATGAGGCCCTAAAATTACTTCTTAAATGAAACAGCTCTAAAATATTTGCAGAATTGTTGTGAATTATTCCTTGTGCCATAGGGATGAAGTATAGGGAATAAATAAAGCTAAAATCACCCTTCTTACCGCACAAACAGGACATTAAAGCTTCCCTCTGCAAGATTCAAACCCTGTTTCTCTGCTCCTGCAAGGCCGAAGCCCACAGTAAGAACAGACAGAGACAGAGTCAACAGCCGGCCCAGCACAAACAGAACAGCCCACACTGTAAACCTGTTAACATACAGAAAACCCTTCATGATTATCAAACATCCTTCTGCTTAAAACACACAGCAAAAAAAGTTACCAAAAATGGTTGGGGTTAGGGTTAGCGCAAGTTGACATCCATTTGCAAAGTTATCATAAAGGTTGGGGTTAGGGTTAGCGCAAGTTGACATGCACTTGCAAAGTTTCTTATAGTCAGTTAAATGTCTGTTGAAGGAGCAGTTTCAGCAGATATTAAGCAGACAGTCTACTCAAATGGTAACACTCAAATGGACCATCAAAATGAAGTTTTACCTTACTTTTCTACAATAATAAAGAATTAAAATAAAAAGACAATAACAACAATAGATAATTTAAATGACATAAATAAAAAAATATCTAAAATAAAAACGGTTTAAAAATACTTATGATAAAAAATGGGAGGGTTTAGAAGTCTCTCCAGATAAAAATTGTTGTCTGATAACATTAAAAATAGGGCATTCCACAAGTACATGTTTAACAGTTTGGTTTCCGTTGCAATATTGACATTTTGGGTTTTTTCTTCTTAAGTATCTGTCCATAAGCAGGGTTTCTGCAGGTTTCATCAAGTCAAATCTAAGACTTTTTAATACCATTTTAAGACAATTATAAATTACATTAAAGTTTTATACATGGCTAAACACTTGTAATTTTTGGTACATTTTAAAATTTTGATAAGGATTTGGCCCTATGTATTCATTTATTGTTTTGCTTGCCACAAAAAAAAAAAAAAAAAAAAAAAAGTTAAGTTATTTTTCAGGCCCATATTTAAATATAAAAACAAGAAAACTAGTTGTATACACTTTCAACATACTTTCACTTTGTTTTTTAATGAGAAGTTAAGCATTGTTTAAAGTATATTACAGAGAAAATTACATAAATTAAAAATATACACAATCCATTTTGACCAAAAGCCAACAAATACCGAGTATAACTCCTATTCAACCTAATGTGTTTGTTTTAAAAAACTTAAGTTTCATGTCTATCTATTATTATTATTATGTCCCCTTTCCCTTACTTCTTAAACCTTAAATTGTTTTTGTATAAATGGAAGACCATGTAAAGAGGTATGTTGCTGTTATTATCATGAGTAAATGTGTAACTGTTTTCAGTTTGATTACATTTTAATTTGGAGAATTTGCTGTATCTCTTTGCAGGGTGAAGCAGTGGCGCAGTAGGTAGTGCTGTCGCCTCACAGCAAAAAGGTTGCTGGTTCGAACCTCGGCTCAGTTGGCATTTCTGTGAGGAGTTAGCATGTTCTCCCTGCGTTCGCGTGGGTTTCCTCCGGGTGCTCCGGTTTACCCCACAGTCCAAAGACATGCTGCAGGTCAATTGGGTAGGCTAAAATTGTCCGTAGTGTATGAGTGTATGAGGGTGACAGGCCAGGCGGAAGGTGTTTAAAAAAAATAAAATAAAATAAATAAAAAAAGTCGTTATCATATGATGGACAAGTCTAAATGGAGGACTTGCTCCAAAGAGCCGACACCGCAACCATACGGGACTAAGGCAGAAGAAGAAGAAGCTGTATCTCTTTGCAATCAACTTCTATTCAGATGGCTTGTTGGTAATTGGATAGATCTCGGCCAATTGGGTAGCTTTTTCCTTGGAGAGGAAATGCAAGACCTGTTTAAAGTTATTTAAGACATACAACACAATATTTTAGCGAATTCAAGACTTCTTAAGGCCTAAAATGTTGTTTTGAAAATGCAAGATATTTTAAGATTTTAAGACCCCACGGACACCCTGATAAGTCCCATATGACACCTTATGTAATCTCATTTAAAAAAATAAATAAATTAAAAAAAAAAAAGAGAGAGAAAATATGCGTTTAAAAAAAAAAATGGTTACCTTTTCTTTCCATGACTGGCTGGATTTCAGAAAGTTTATTTTCTGAGCACTGATCCTATTCTACCTTTTTCTGACCTTTTTCAGACCTTTGAGTCTCATTCGTTGACAGTCCCATATAAGCTTACCCAGTGCACACAGTTTGAGCCAAAATGAGCTATGATTAGTTCACCTTTTGAGTCTTCTGGTTTGTGATCTGTTCGTTCATCACGTGACAGCATGTAAAAAGAGATGACTCAAGCCAGGGCTCGAGAAATGAATGAATCAAATCTTTATTCCCGCTCTGAATGAATATGATTGGCTTCTGTCTTTCCTTCTCTTCTTAACTCGCATGGAAATGTTTGTGTTTTTATGCTAGAGTAAAACCAAGACAAAGGCTGTAAAAATACTATAATTTTCTTGATATATGGTCAAAGCAGCAACTAATTTGCATTAAAGGGACATACACGAAATTATGTATTTTTGCTTCTAGCTGAAAAAAAAACAAACAAAAGCATAACAGTCTTTAACTGGACTTTTCTGTCCATTGATTGACACTCACCCACTCTGCCTTTCCTCATTGCTGAAGTAAATGAGTCTGGACACATGGAAGATGAGCTCAACAAAGTAATGCAGAACCAGCAACACCAAACCCAACCGGTTCAGACTGAAAACACATGAAAAATGGTTTAAACATTAGTGAATCTGCTGTGTTGCACTTTGAAAAGTGTCTATGCACGTAAATGGAAATGCTTTCAGATTCATTTAAATTTCACTTTGTACAATTTTTTTTAAATTACTTTTTTACACTTTAAATGAAAGTCTAAAAGATTTTCAAAGTTTCACTGTAACAAAAAGATTTTTTAAAAGCAGTTAAAAAAATTAATAAACAAACAAATCAGTCTGCTTCAAAATTGTGCGTTTAATTCCATGCATTTTTGGCCATGTTTATAATAAATTTTACAGAGTTTAATATGAAGGAAATCCTACAACTTCTTTTGAAGTGTTGAATCAATTTTTGACATTTAAAAATATATTCAACACTAATTGAATATTAATAGTTGTCAGACCATGTTACAAAGTTTTTTTGACTTGCTCAACTTAAAAATACATACGTATATACAAACATATCGATTCCAATTATTTTTTATGTATCTTAATAACAGCAAAAACACAATACTCTAAAATATTATCACAAATAAAAGGCTATACATTTTACAATGCAATTTATTCCTGTGCTGACAGCTGGGTTTTCAGCATAATTTCTCCAGTACACAGGATGCAATAAGCATCTGAAAATATCTGGAACAGTGTTCCTTTTCTTCTTTGATGATTTTAAGTCTTCATTAATCAAAAAAACAAAGTCATGAAGGCAGAAACAAGAAACCAATAAGACAACTATAATGGGCTTGTTGACAACATCCATTTTCAAAATCCACGTTCGAGTGAGCATGTGTAATTGATGTTCTCCTACAAAATGTGACCCTGACAACTGTTTATGGTGATTAATAAACATGACAAATCAATTGCTTACTTCAGAGCGTAGGCTCCAGCGATGTGGACCAAGTAAAGGCTTATATAAACAAGCTGGCGAGGAATGTCTTCCTGAAAAAAAAAAACACATGCAATATGTATTAAAATATCGTAAAAACACCATCTCAAATGTTTATACACATTGAGTATACACAATTCTTAACCTGATTATAAATATAGTCATTGTGTGATAAAAAAAATATTTTATAGCCTGAAATTAACATTGATAACTTATATACTGTAAATGTTTACTTTTTATATTTAATCACTGTCTTGCAAGAAATGCTATGTAGTGACAATAATATATTAATGTGACAAAAGCAAAAAATAAATAAATACTAATTCACATGAAGTTGCAGTCATTGCTATGAAAAGCCAATTCAATCACATAAACCTTGATTTTGTGTTAATAATCCAAACAAAATGTATTTTCACAAAATATTGAGAATACAACTGAAAAGAAACATGTCAAGTGTTAGCCAAGAGTCCTAAGTAATCTTTGTCTATCAGCTCAAAAAATAGTTTTATATATGTAAACTTTGTGTGATCTAAACTAAATATTTGAAACAGAAGACCCATAGCTTTTAGTTCATTTAATTTTAGGGTGAACCTGATTTTCTTAATATATTATTTTAGTGAATTTTGTTAGTTTTATAGCAGTACTTATCACAACACAAATATCTTTAAAAAGAGAAATTAGGATCAGATATTCAAAAGCGTTCCAGAATTGTTCATTTAAATTGAGCAAGCCTAGATTATAAAAAGTGCAACGCTGTAAACATGTTAATGAACTACGTGCACAGTTGCTTAAATATTAATTATTTTTTCCAGGGTTTCTGCAGATTTCACCAAGTTAAACTTAAGACGTTAAGATCATTGTGAATGAAATATTAGACTCAAAGTGGCAAATGCTAAGAATTTTTTCAAATAGTTCAGGAGGAATAGATTTTTATTTGCCCTATCAAAAATATTATAATTTACTACATTAAGTAGAACAACAAGAAAATTTAGAAAAATGGAAATATTTTAGATATTTCTTAACAAAATATTTTAAATAGTGTAAAAACAAGCTCTGCTTGTATTCATATACCTTTTCCAACATAAACTTCCTTTCAATTAAATAATAAACAAATGTTTTAAAAAATGTAAAAACTATAAAAAAAAAAAAAAAAAAAAAAAACTAAATCTATGCACAAGAATCTGTCCAGGGGTCTTTTCTTGGTACATGGATTACTCCATTAGCTGGATTTGGATATTAACGATTTGACATGACATGATTTGTTCTTCAAAACTCATTCTTTTTTTCCCCAAAGAAATAATAATTTATGCAGTCAACATATGCGTTTTTACAGCTAATACGCCGGTGATTTGATGCTTCGCTAAAGTTGCAAAGACTTTTACCGATGTCAAAATGCTTTAATGCAAAATTAATCTAAACAGCCAGTTATTCCTTACACTAATTAAGAAACTTAAAAAGGCCTAGGCTACTATTTTAAAGAAAATCCACTCTAAATGTAAAAGTAAATAAATTACTAAATACTCGACACATAAAAGTGTAAACTAAAGCCTGCAGCCCACAACAAAGATGTAAAGTTATTGAGTATTATATTTAACAAACTGTTTACTATGAATTTGATGTAATTTTGCTTACATGGATAGTTCAATATTAATCAGATGACCCCAGGTCAGTGTCCTCAGCAGTGAATGCAACATTAATTTAAAAGTGCTCCATGTAAAGAAAATTAAAGCAATATGATAAAATGGAGTTAAAAATGACACTTTAAAATAAAAAGTTGAAAGTTTTATTGAGATGGATTGTTGGTGATTGTATGGGTGTTGGCCAGATTGGGTTGCAAAAATAGACCCATTTAAAAAAAAAAAAAGATTTAAGACCCACAACACTATTTCAGTAAATTTAAAACTTTAAAGAATTCTGACATTTTGATTTTGAGATTTAAGACATTAAGACACGAGGATATAATTTTCCTTGAAAGGATAGTTACTGTCTTAATTTATTTAACACTACAGTTGTTCCAAAACGATTTGAGATCGCTTCTTCTGTTTAACATAAGAGCAAATATTTTGAAGAAAGCTGAAAACTTTGAAGAAAGCTGAAAACTGAAAAATTGTATTTGTTTTTCTACTATGTATGCCAATGGTTAAAGGTTTTTTGCTTTCTTCAACATACTTGCTTTGGAAAGCCATTGGTCTTCTGTGTTCCAAATATTTTAGACTGGTTCCAAATAAGTAAAAAGAAAGTAAACTTAAATTTTGGGTAAACTATTCCTTTAAGCCAGCTTAAGCATAAATTAAGGAATAAATGTAGCCAAGCATGTACATGTGTAAAACCATTTTCTGTTGCTTTACTGAAGTGTGCATGTGTGATACTGCAAATTTAAGACAGAGCAAATGTTTTGTAACAAGGAAGGAGGAAATATACCACAAACAAACAAAAGCACTTTCTTGACCCAAAGAATTACAAAAATGTGTTGTCATCTTGTGCGGCAGAAGCAAATGTTTAGCGGTCAAAATGCTGGATCTTAAGAGGATCATATACATGCTGTTCAGTTTTTAATCATTAATTGGCTAATTCACCCAAAAAAATTTAAATTCAGTTTTCAGTCCCAAAAATGTAGCTGTTATGCACACAAAAAAGCAAAAACGCATAAAAAGTTCCCTCTTTTTGGCTGAAAATATTGTGTGAACAGCCCTTAATTTGCTTTGAAAGCTGCCAGCATCAAATTAACTGATTTATTAATAAACTCTAAAGCATTGCTGGGTTATGCATTTGCATGCAAACCCAAAAAAATGGGTTATTTCAACTTGCACATCCATGTTTACTTACTTTCTTGGCCTTCTGGAAGTAAAGCTCTGGGATTGCATGAAGCCAGTAGCCGAGCTGACAGATGTAGTAGAACTTCATCTGGAACCTAAAACAAACCAAGGAGCTTCTTAAGCATCTTCTTTACGACTTGCGGAAATAAGACATCAATAATAATCACATTTGCAAGCTGCGTGTTAAACATACAGTGGGTCTGCAAAAGTCAGAAGAGAAAGTTGGAGGTAGACTAATGCAGGATAATTTAATCAGAAGCTTTGAGACTGCTCTTACACAGACCCCTCCATGAGAACTTGATCAGTTTATGAAAGAAGATGCAAGTTATGAGTGCTCACACAGCCAATCGGCAGAGGTGAGATGAGGTGGAATATGAACCCAAATTATTTCACAATTCACGCTGAAAACCAACACTTTCTTATTATTCAAAGTTAGGGCTGGATAATATTCCAAGAAAATGACATTGAAATATATTTTATTAAAAATAATAGTCATTTTCACGAGATGACTTAAAGTTACTCTAAAGAGAATGGTTTGTTTTTTTTAATACGTCAAATCTTAAAACTGTTTTTTATTCTAAAATACTTCACACACAGAACTTAGGAATGCTCCGATCGATTGGCCAGAGATTAGTATCGGCCGATAAATCACATTTTGACTCAATCGATACTCACCAATCTCAAGAACAACTAGATGGAGAGCAAAATATTGGACTGACCTTGCATGTGTCTAGATCTTTTTACATATATAAGAACTGAAAGCTCAGTGTTTTGACAATTCCAAGTCCACTCAAACCAGGCTTTGTAATATACTTACTGCAATAAATATGTATTTATAGGCGTGCATTTTAATTTCTTATGCATCAAATACGTGCTCAAACTTTTTCTTGATTGAGACATGTAGAATTCTTCTTTCATCATTTGCAATGTTTCCAAATTGCCTCGTCAGTTGTTTTTCTTACCAATATTTTTTATTGGTTTTATCTATAACTGTCTTTAAAGCTGCTTCCGACCATGACATGTCCACACTAAACAGTTATAAGCGACATGTTTAAGGGACTATATGCAACATCCTTCATTTACTCTCCACTTAAGTATCACACTTAGAAGGAAAATGTGCTTTATGCATCAAAGTTTGAAGCATCAAAATTAGTACTCTGTATCGGCCGATCCCCATGACAAGGAATCGGTACTTTGTATCGGCTGCAAAAATCCTGATCAGAACACAAAAATTAACTACTATAATAATAATAATAATAATGTGGTGCAACAGATTAGAAATCTTACGGTTTGGAATACATTGTTTTTTTTTCTTGTTTTTTTAAGTCACAGACCATTTTTCGGATCAGCCAAAAAATGTAATTTGCTTTACATTCATTACAAAAACAGTACCGCAAGAAACTTTTATTTAACAAACAAAACCTAGAACCTGTAATTTTATTTAAAATAAAATGAAGTAATAATCAGCTACTGTGAAAAAATAAATAAAAATACTGTTACTACTACTACTTTTGCTGATGACACTAAAATGTATAAATCTATCATTATCTTTTGCACAACCCATGTTTATTTTTAACCTAATTTTTAATAAATGATTCAGTTATTCACTTATAAAACTTCATGATTCATAGCTAGATGGATCATTTTTAAAGAATTATTCAATGGTATATTTTTGATGGCTGGTTGTTGCCACCTATTGGTTAAATTACATAATTGATGCCAACAACTTTCATTTGAGTGTTACGTCTGTTTCACACCGCAAGCGTCAGCGGCGCGTAAGCAGAGCGCGAGCAGCGCGTGTGTTTTCGGCGTCCATGTTAACACATTAGAGCTTTCATACCGCACGCAGCAGCAGCGCCTCAGAGCGAGGCTTGAGCGTCGCCGAAGCAGCAGTGTAGCGATAGTTTCGGCGCTGGGTCTATTTTTGACGCGCTGCTCACGCTCAATTAAAGTAACAGTGCATTGATAATGACCAAAACACAATGAATGACAGTAAAAAGTAGCAATTTTACCCAATAGATGCGTTAATGATGTCAAATGGTTTATATATATAGTCATTCAAAGGAGCTTAAAACGATTAAAAACGGCAACAAATATTTATTTAGGCCCGAACTACAAACCCCAAATGTAAAACAATTTTAGTATCAGTTTTGCTTAAGTTGCACACTAGTGTTGTAGGAGAGGGGAAATAGAATATTTATGGGATTTGTAGTCCATAGCGAAGTGTTTAGTGGGTAGTGTAGTTCAACACGCATGCTGGATTATGTGAGCTCGCTGTGTTCTGTGCAGCTGAGCAGAGGAAGAAAGTTTTAATCGGCTTTGTTTTATGTTCACTCGAGTTATTACTACCGAGATCTGTTTGCACTGTGAATCTGACAACACGAAAATAAGTAAAAGAATGGCATGCATTGGTTACTTTTGTCCGTCTCATCCTCTGCACGAGCATGAATTAACGAGCTGTTATTCTGCCGCTGGACATCACTGAAGCGGAGAAAGTAACACTAGTTTGATCATGTATAAATATCATTATAACTATATTGTATAAATATTATTATAACTAGGTCTACAGCAACCTGATAATAAAAAAAAAATGACATGATATCACAGGCAATTGTCCTCTGACTGTAGACACTTCTCATACAAGTTAGCTTGAGAAGCATACAGTACTATTTGATCTATAAATTTTGTAAAATAAACATTTGCAGGTTAAAGAAACAGCATAGAAGGGGCTTTGGTGCAGATGAAAAGTTTAAAAAGTGTATTTGTATATAGAGAGACATGGGTAACCTGATAGAATAGACAGAGATAGGTTGATCTCTGCAGCAGCTGCTGAAGAGCTGCACGCTGCAGACGCAGCTGGTGTGAAAGGCAAACGGCTGCGTGCTGCTACTGCTCGACATACGCGCTGAGCACGCTCTGCTCACGCGCCGCTGACGCTTGCGGTGTGAAACAGGCGTTATGTTAAATGCATAGGATGGTAATTTTAATCTCTCTCAAACTAATAATCTTTATCTTTAAACTGTTACCCCGGTGTTTTGCGTCATTTAACTGTTTGTAAACTTAAGACTGAATCTCTTTCTTGATTTTTTTGTATTTTTCAAACACATTTGAATGCGGAATGCTGCGATTCGGATTAATAAAGGATTAATAAACATGCAAATCACCAATATTTATAGTTTATGCTGCATAGTTGATGAGATTGATCTTTAATGATTAATCATGCAGCTTACACTAAATGCATTACTGCAGGCTATGCAAGTATTGACAGAAAATTTTGATGAAGAAACCCACCTCATCCCAAATGATCTACCACAACTTCTTCAGTTATCATTATATTTTGATGGAAAGCCTAAATGCTTTCACACACACGTGATTTAAATGACGCAAGATGCAAATTTATTAAAAATAAAAAAATGATTAATCCACAGGTCACATGCGTTTTAAACCGTGGGTTGTGATCCACACGATTCACGGATGAACGGTGATCTGTTACACCCTAATAATAATAAAAATATTTATACAGTACTTCAAAATATGTGTCTTACTTTGCTTTTTTATAAGAATTAAATAATGATTTTATTATGATTCTTACAAATATTAAACCAAATAAACTTATTTTAATAGCACTATTGTACCGTAAAGAAATTAATGTTTTAATAATAATATATACATCTTATCCTCTTCATTTTCAAACAGCAACCTAGCTAACAAGTGAAAGAAATTGCTCAAAATTGCAAAAGACGTAAAAAAAAAAAAAAAAAAAAGCAAGGCCTCTATACTTAATCAGTTCAAACTCAATACTGAGAGGAAAGTCCAAATTTGAACAATAGTTGCATATAAATGACTTCAATAAGTCTTAGATATTTTATAAAAATCATAACCTGCAGGCTTTGACACTCGTACTAATTTCACACTATTTTATAATTCAAACTTCGCACATTTTCCAAGAGCACAGACGGTGGTACTTACTGCATTAGGGTGTGTGGGTAGCCATCCCACAGGCTGACAGGGTTTGAGAGGATGTTCTCCTTTAGAGGAAGTAGAATAAGTCAAATTAGTCTTTTTACAGACTGCTAGAAATACAAAACAGCACACAAGCCCTATTAACACAAAGCTCTTACAGAAACAAGAATGCTGGCTCCCCACAGGCAGGAGAAGAGGTAGAAGGCACTCAGCTGACCCGACTCATTGAACTTGCTGTGCTTGGTTTTAGAGAAGTGCATCTTCCTGTTGATTTTCTGAACAGGAAAGGATTCAAATGAATAGCAAAAGAAAAGCATGCATTAGTATTAACAGTGTTGCACCACAATGATACTGGCATGCTCATTTGTGCACTTAAACCCTTTTGTTTTACATGGAAGCTTGTTCCTGCCATTAGATGAATAATAAAAGCTGATAGCATGTTTTAGCTCACAATTGAAAGTGTTAATTATCATTATGGATTTTTTCTTTAGAATTTGACTATATCTGACATTTTGAACTTACTGACTCACAATCTAAAATAAGTTCTCAAGATTTTGAGCTTATTTTTTGCAATTCTGCAAAAAAAAAAAAAAAAAGACTGCAACACAAAAACTGAAAATCTTGCATATGCGAGATATAAAGATTTAGTATACTGAACCAAATCAGAGATATAAAAAATAAACAATTGCTAGATACAAACTCAAAATTGGCAAATATAAAAGATTACACTTCAGTTAAGGTGTCCTTGTTACTACTACTAATTTAACTACCGAGTAATATTAATTAATTTCATGTACTTACCATATGGTTAGCATAAGAATGACAGTTAAGTTTAGGGTAAATGTAATGTATTTATGCATTATTATTGATTATAATATTAAGTACATGGAGGCTGTAACAATTGGACACATTAAAATAGTGATATCATACAAATATCATATGAAGATTTGTGTTATTCTCTGTGTTAGAACAGTGGGAAAGCTGAGAGACTCAAATTCTGAATTGCGATGCCATCCAAGCGATCAATTCCAAGAAATAAGAAGAAAACAAAATAGTCTTGAATTGGGAGATAGAAACCTGGAATGGTGAGAAACTTGCAATTCTGAAAAATGCATTTAACTTGGAAAAGCAAACCAAGTTGTGTGCAATTGCAATTCACATTTAAATGTATTATTCTGTGTCAGAAACAAGCTTCAGTGCAGTAGTTTCAGCTACACTTCATTTAGTGGGACATATATTTAACCAGAGAGAAATACTTACATCCAGCACATATTCCTGAATAATGGCGTGCATGATAATGGCCACCAACATGTAAAAGAAAATAGTGGCCACATCTTTCAGACCATAATGAAAGTAATTCACTGTCGCTTCCTCTGGACCTCCTAAAATACACAAGACAGTGGGAAGATTGTCCCAAAATTCTTAATACTATTGTTATTGGTATAGTAACTATTGTTAGCTTTTTGATCAAGTCAAGTATAAACGGAAATTATTTCTCTTTTGCTCAGTAAATTAATAAATACATTTATTAATTAATAATATGACAGAGGACATGCAGCTGATCTTTTAACATATTAAACGCCCCCCCTTCCTTTGTAATTTAACATTATTCTAATTGAATAAAAGCAGAACATCTTCATTAAACAAATGTGTCATCAGATAAATTGGTGCAGTGGCAGTGTTAGTGATAAAGGTTTAAAGAAAAACAATGATTGACTTGGTGTTTCGAATGCTACCATAGAAATAACAATGTAACAGAAAACAGATATGATTAAAACAAACTAGCTATTTCCCAACATACTTACCATTTGCTGGAATCGTGACGTTGTATTGCACAGTTATGAACAAAACCGCTACCTTTGATGTAATCTATGTGGAAAGAAATACTGTCAATACACAAACAAATAAAGCAATAAAATCCCCCCAACATTAAAGATTTGTAAAATCTTAAGCAATACAATCAAAACACTAATAAATAAAATCAACATTTGACCCTAAAAGAAGAAAAAACTGTAATTGATGAAAATTAAAATGTAATAAAAAGTAGTTTTATATTCATAGAAGGCACACTACCTGTCAAAAGTTTGGGATCAGTAGGAGTTTTTAAATGTTTTAAAATAAGCTTCTCCGGCTCACCAAGGCTGTATCTAATCAAAAATACAGTACACATTGTAAAATTGTGAAACGTTATTGCACTGTAAAATAACTGTTCAAAAGTAGTTTAGAATTTAATTTAATAATTTATTCAAGTGATTTTTTTAATTTTGAACTTTCAGTTTCATTAATCCAGTCTTCAGTCACACAATCTTTCAAAAATCACTTTAATATTAATTATTATTATAAATAGTATTATTAATGTATTAGTAATACAAGCAATAATGACTGGAGTAATAATTTCATTTGAACATACTACATACAAGAAAGCAGTTATTTAAAATTGAAATAATTATTTAACAGTTTAACATTTTTTGCATTTAATAAATGATACCTTGATGAACAAAATCATTGTTCTTAATTTTAAAATGTTTTCTATTTTCTTAAAAACATGAAAAGTTACCTGACCCCAAACTTTTGACCGGTAGTGTAAACTAAAGCAATTCTATTTTCATAGATGGTATACTATAAAGTTTATAAAATTCAGGGTTTTAAGTTTAAGGTTCACAAAGTATTGTTAAACAAAACGGCATTTTATATGGTGTCTGATGTTCTGTAGATCATTGGCAAAAATAATTACAGTGAGACTATACAGGCCTGTTACTTAAGCGAGTTAACTTGGATATTTTAAAACGCCATTGATTTCGTGTGTTAAGTGTTAATCGGATGTATATGCAAGATAAAAATATTGTAACTTAAATAGGTGATGAATCATTAGAAAAAGCACCAAATCTATTCAGGTGATGTAAACTCCACTTCCCATGATGCACTACAGCACAAGCGCAGATATTCAGCAAACTATCGTTCAAATCTAACGGTTTTGCTAATTTGCGGTCCAAACTGATGCGCAAACTGTAAAATCGTCAATTTGGCACAAAATACATATTTTGGTAGCCAAAAATCGTGACTCTCGCCATGTTGTGCACTGATGACAGCACTCAGTCATTCTCCGATTGCCACGTAACACTTCATTTGCGCGTAAAAGTATCAGTGCAGCTACAATGTTGCGTAATCATTTTAGTCATCATTTCTAAAATTCCGTTCAGCACTTCATATTACAGAAGAAAACTACGAGCGTGCTTTTTAATTATCTTGCGGGTTTTAAAGTTCCCTAAATGGGCATTCATCTCTCTCTCTCTATCTATCTATCTCGTGCATCACGTCTATTGAATCAAACCATTCAATTGAACAACCAATTAGCACATTTGCGTGAGAGTTAATACTAATAACTTAATTATACGATTCAGAATCATGCAACTTTATCTAAAATCCTTCATTTTACGTTGCAAAACCAAAAAGTAGCAACTTAATGTGCAGTTAAAGGAAGTGAAAGAAACGAGATGTGTTCTGAAACAACATTAAACAAGATCCGTTAGATTTCTTACATAAATAAACAAAACATAAACACTGAGTTGACTCCAAGCTGTTCTTTCGAGTGTAAAAGTGAGTGAATTTGGTAAAAGTGTGCTCTTACCTCAAACATAAGACCCAGGAGAAACACCATAGCGACACAGGACACAATATCCGCGTGGTTCTGGATCACAAACTCATGGCTGAGCACCGGCGGGTTCTTGGTGGTCTTTTTTCGGATGCCCATCTTGGTGGATGTTGAGAGAACTTTTAGTTAGTGTGAGTGAGGAACACGTCTTCACTATTGTTATCTGGCAGGCACGTCAGTCTTAACGCCTACTTCTGTATTTCTTCTTCCATCCTTTTTCAAATTTTAATGCAGTTTGCAAGGAGACGAGAGACGCGCCATCTGTCGGACTGGAGAAAATACATATGCCAAACATGTCAAACATTCCTTTTTTAACATTCATTGTATTCTCTTTTATGATTTGACAAGTCAATATCAGACATTGTAAATATTGTGTTCCAACTTGCTAAATATCATATACACTGCTGTAAGTGTCCCTATGCTTTGAACATTTCCGAAACGAACTTAAACTCTATTACTCTTTACTGAAATTACTTAATAACTGTCGTGCCCAAAAATTCATCAGACAATCATACATTAATTGTATTTAAAACTTTTGTTTATTTATTTATTTTTATTTTAGGGTGTCACAGTGGCGCAGTGCCATACAGCAAAAAGGTCGCTGGTCAGTTGGGATTTCTAAGTGGAGTTTGCATGTTTTTCCGTGTTTGCGTGGGTTTCTTCTGGGTGCTTCGGTTTCCCCCACAATTCCAAAGATATGTTTTAGGTGAATTGGGTAAACTAAATTGTCTGTTGTGTATGATTGTGAATGAGTGTGTGTATGGATGTTTCCCAGTGTTGGGTTGCAGATGGAAGGGCATCCGATGCGTAAGAAAGAAAGGTTCTTTCTGCTGTTGCGCCCCCTGATTACTAGGGACTAAGTCGAAAAGAAAATTAATAAATGAATGAGTTTTTATTTTTTATAGCCTTACCTCTCTTTTTTGTTTGTTTGTTTGTTTGTTTAGTTTATTTGTTTAAATGGTCAATGCACATTATTAAACATTACTGTAAAATGTGCCAGAATTAGCCAAGAATGACTATTTTTCATCTGTAGACCCCTTACAAAATGTTAAAAAGTCACACCTAAAATAGAAGCAAAGCATAATAACCTAGAATACACTATCATATATAAAATACAATAAAAAAGCAAAGTTTTAAAGGTTTTTTTTATTTTATTTTGTTATTTAAAAAAATTAAAGTAACGGCCATTAATTTACAGAAATTTACCGTAAAATAACAAACATTAATTACAGAAATTTACCAGAAATTATAATTTAAGGAAATTTCTGTAATTTAATTCCCGTTGTTTTATGGTATATTTTGGTAATTTAACAGCTGTTACTTTACTTTTTTTTTCCAGCATTCCAGCTGCCAAAAATAAACGTAAAAATTACGATTTTTTTTTTTTAGTGTAGGTTTAATGCTGAATGTTTTGTACTCGATTTGTTATTATGTTGTTACCTCTACAAGTATGCCAAATTACACTTCTGAACAGTTTGTTAAACCAAAACAAACAAGAGTAAAAAAAAACAATTAAATAAATTTATACATCAGAAGAATGTCATAAACCTTTTGCACTGTGCACAAAAAATGCTCAAACACATAAATTAAAAACAAGCAAAACATCCCATTTCCATGTGATCTCTTATTTTTTTTCCCATGCAGTTCCACAGCGGGGCTACATGGTGCACGGCTCAGTGATAAGCACTGACTACTCACAGTAAGAAGGCCACTGGTTCTAGTCCCGGATGGTTCAGTAACATTTCTGTGTGGAGTTTGTATGTTCTCCCCATGTTGGTGTGGGTTTCCTCCGGTGCTCTGGTTTCCCCCACAGTCCAAAGACATGCGCTATAGGCGAACTGAGTAAACTAAATTGGCTGTAGTGTATGTGTGTGAATGAGTGTGTATAGATGTTTCCCAGTACTGGATTGCAGCTGGAAGGGCATCTGCTGTGTAAAACATATGCTGGATAAGTTGGTGGTTCATTTCGCTGTGGCAACCCCTGATGAATAAAGGGACCAAGCCGAAGAAAAAATGAATGAATAAAATGACAACCCAAAGCAAATAAATGAATTAAATAACCTCAATAACCTCAAGATCTTTATAGCATAAAGTACAGTTACCTGGAACTGCACCTGATGCTGTAAAACGTGTAAAACAACATGCCAAAGCAGACATTTCCTCTTTGTACATTTCTGTTAACATTAACAACAGGCAAACAAACATAAACACATGCCAACGTAATCTTTCAGATTAAGATCTGAGCAATGAACAGAATGCGCAACGTATGTCCTGTTTGAGGCTGAGAGTATACAATGGAGAGAATGAAAGCATTTCTTCTATTTGTTTTGCATTCAAAGTGTCAGTGCATGAATGAATATGGGTTGGTCTAACTCATTGGTCTATCCCCTAAATACATAAATATGTATGGATGGGTGTGTATGCTGACATCACGTAGTCTCTAGTGGATTACTTCATATAGGTGTGGCTTAAACTGTCAGCTGTTTATGAGAAATCATATGGTGAGAAACTAAAGCCAGTCAATGTGACTGCAGCTAAAAAACAGAAGAATGGGAAACCTGGTAAGTTGTGAACAATACTTCTAAAAATTTCAACAAATCTCGATATTAAATGATAGTAAACGTAGACCTACTTCTTGAATATTATGCTCAGTAAAAGTGTAAAGTGACCGTTCAAGGCTTTAAGGCTTATCTGTTAGCAGACGCTGTTAACTGACATACAACAGGGCTTAGCAAATTCATTTTGTCCTAGAGTTAATGGTGTTAAGTTTTTACTAAATGTTACCTGAAAGTTCTTGAGTTCTTAGAACATATTAAAAAGAATACATGACATATGTTGCATTTAAAGAGATAGATCCCCCAGAAATGATACTTTACACAATATTTACTTCCTCAAGTATTTCCAAACCTTTAGATGCTTTCTGCTGTTAAACACGAAGGAAGGTATTTTGAAATTAAAATATTTTGTAACTAATGTTTTGTAACCATTGACTTTTATAGTAATGCAATGCAAATATTATGGAAGTCAATGGCTAACGTTTTCTAACTTTCTTTTAAAGATCTTTTGATTTTAACTGAAGGAAGAAAAATAGACAGGTTTGAAACCAGTAAAGAATAAATGTTGACAGAACTAAAAGTTTATGGTGAAATATCCCTTTAATAGTTAAACTACAAATTTACACAATGAATATTTTGAATATCATAAAATATTCTGGTCTTTAAAGGCATTACAAAGCAAAAGAAAGACTTTTAAGAATGTTTAAAGTTGATTTTGTAAGTTGATTTTGAGCAGCATGTAAATGTATGACTTTTGGGCTCTTTATGTAAATGTTCTTTTAATGATATTAATAAAGTAATAATGTTGGGCTAATATTATAAAGTGTGAGCATGTTTTTATAAACATGATTATTAAGTGTGCAGCACATTTTGTACACATTACATTACGTAATCATTCATAATCACGGAGAAGTGAGTTGTAGATCCTGGACAAAGTTCAGATCACAAGCTGAAACTCATTCAGATAATGTGAAAGTACACTGTAAACATGATTTTCAATAGTGATTGTAAATAATGGTGATCAGAGCACAGTTGTGTTTCTTATAGATGACAGCAAGGCTAGTTCATTTCTAAGTGGCATTGTAGCAAATAAACACCCATGATAAATGAATCTCAACTTGTCTTTTACAAGAAAATCCTTTTTCCAAATTCTCTTTTTTCAAAATGTAACTTTATAAATTTAATTCAGTGTGTAACTTGTGAATTCTCTGTAATTAATTGTGAAATTTACAAACATGTCTTGACTTGAAACATACTTTCACTTGCACCGTTGTGATTTGACTGAAACTCAAAAAGGACCAAAGGCATATAGAATAAACAAAATTAAATAAATACAAAAACAGCTCAAGAAGAGCGTCATATATAGTCATGTTGTTGTCCAGATAAAGTCATGAAAAATTTCTTTGCAGCAGATTGTGTTTGTGCATGCAAAGGATCCTCTTCACGATTCTCAACTACTTAAAACTCCCCTAAAATCCACAGGGTAATCACACAAGTTTCTCAATACTATTGAACATGACGAATTGCACACTCATTATGGCAGCATCTTGATTAAATCAAGTATAAACAAAACTGATTCATTCAGATTTATTTGGTCAACTGAATAAATAATAAATAAAAGAGCAGTTCATCTCAAAAACTTATTGTGGGATCATTTATAACTAAACATTATTCTTGATAAGGAGAAAATCTTCATTAATCAAATAAATTGTGTGATTTGGTTAATAACTAACTGGTGTGCGTGTCAGTGGCATGTTTTCTTGTATAGGGGTTTACTAACATACAGGTAAATATGATAAAAACGCCAATATGGATACACCACACATTTAACACAACAGTATGATTCCTCCATATCTGATCAACAATTGACCTTTTTAAAATGTACATGACTTATAGATCTGTTTGTATATGTGTGCATGTGGTAAAATTGTAAAAATGTGAACAATAACTGATTCAGAAAAAAACAACAACACTTTTGTAACGCTTAACTTAATGTTGTCAACATCATTTTTAAATCACAATTTATCAAACATATAAAACAATGTTGTGTGTTTTGTGAGTTAAACACTCATTTGTTTCAAAGGGTGTGTACTATTCCAATACTAAAGCATTGAACTGTAATGGGCAACATGACAAAACAAAACAAACAATGACATAGGTGTTTTGAACTTATTTGGTCTTTTTATGTCCTTTATTTGGTTTGTCCAGACCTATAAGTCAAACTACACCAGAGTTTGTTTGAAAGTGGATTGAGAGCCATCTTTTTCGGCAATCTTTTCTAGCATTTGTTTGTTTGGTGTACATCAGGATTTAGGCAGCAGCATCCACACCTATTTAAACAAACCAATGGAATTATAGTTTGAACCAAACACACAAGTGTGGATTTAACATACTTAAATGACCGAAATATTCGGTAGTATATTAAGTATTACAACAATTTTGATCAAAAACCTTTAAGTGCCCTCTGAAGTGTCCATAGAAAATGAGCATTGTTCTCAGCCACCTTTGTTTATGTTAAGTTATTACACCTGGAATACCATGAAAATAACTTATTATTTGCAATGAAAGTGAAGTTATTGTACCCACACAAAAGGGCCTGATATAAGTGATACT